GGGGGTCCATTAACCGACCCAACCCATGAAGGCCCATCAATTTGACTCAAACCCGGTGGGGGTACACTAAACCTAGGCCAGCCCGATAAGGGCCCTTAAATCCATCTTGGCCTAATAGGGGGCCCGTAAATTGGATTGAGCCATTAGGTTCCCCTCTCAAACGAGGCCAAATTGGGTTAACCCTCTCGACTTTCACCTAAAAGGGCATGGTAGAGGGCCAAGCCCACTCGGCTTACCTAGCATGCGGGTATGCCAAACAGAGCCTTGCAACTTGGAAAGCTGTGCGAGTGGCATGCCCTAGGTGAGCTGTCCTGCACACATGGGTGTGTCAGGACAGGCCCTCACACACAGTGTGCGTATATGTGCGTGCGCACTTGGCAGGGCAGCACGACACAGCGTGCTACACACACTCATTCCTCACGTCACGCGTGCGGACAAGCTTAGAAGGTCGCACGCACGCACACATGAGGACATGTGCACACATGCACATGCAACAACTCCCTTCGATGTGCTAACACGATTGACAAGAAATGTGCTCTTATGCGTGGCTACTGCGTGCATACAGCAGGCCGAGGGCCCTGTACAGGCACATGGGTGTGCCAAGATAGTGTCTCTCATCCACTCTGTCGCAGCACAATTGCAAGTTACGATCCTTATCAGCACTTTGATGCCCAAACTGTCTCGACTCCATTTTTACCACCTCAGTCTATTCATTTTAAACATTCATATTCTTTTTAAGCATGCATGATCATTTTAATATCTAGGCTTCCAAAAATATTCCAAAATTCATCAAAAATTTGATAAAATGCAACAATCAAGTACCAAATAGTTTCATGCATGAAATAATTTACAACTATGCATGCATTTCAAATTTTTAAACATTTTTAAAACTTAAAAGACTCATTAAAAGTGTGAGAAGAAATACCAAGCCCCTTACCTTCATTGTCTAGTGTTCAGGTTCTAAGAGTGATGATGAAGCTTCGGGTATTCGAAGGAGAAGGTCAGCTGCAATGACTGTCCAAAGAGATTGCAAAATGTTTTCTACAATTTAAAGAAGAAAGGAGGCTTATGTTTGAGGTGTCTTGGCTCCATAAGGGAAGAAAAGAATCGAGAACAAAGGATAGAAAACTTACTATGTGGCTAAGAGAGAAAGGCACAGTGAAACCATCATGCCGGAGAAGGAAAAAGCTTCGGTTCTTTTCAGGTTAGCTCTCACTCACTCTCAAGCTTTCTTCTATTCGCTTGGTGAAAAGGAAGGAGGATGAGGAAAATAAAGAAAGGAATAGAGGACTAAGTTTAAATAGTAAGGGAAAGGCATGTGATTTGTCGGATCACATATATGAATTTGGACCATTGATTGGCT